AGCTAAAGCACAAAGGGTAGAGAATGTGGCTCAAATGGAAGAAGAAGAAGAGGAGGAGGAGGAGGAGGAGGAAGAACAATATTAGAGTGGGGACATGGCTCAAGTAGTAGAGTGCCTGCCCGGCAAGAGTAAAGCCCTGAGTCAAACTCCTGTACCACCAAAAAATAAATAAAAATAAAACATCAACAAGTTATCTGAAAAGGAAATTAAGAGACAAAACCCCAACTGCTTTTAAAGGCAACTCACGTTCCTCTCTCCCATTACTCACTTCCTTTCCTGGGGTCCCCTCCCTGTTAAAACACTTGCCCTCAAACGCTGAGCTCAGATTCTGCTGTAGGAAGATTGAGGACTAAGGCATGGAGGTAGGGAGAGGGAGGGAGGCCCAAACAATGTATACACATGTAAATAAATGTAAAAACGATAAAATAAAAAAAAAATAATAATATTTTAAAAAGTTACTGAGGCACAGAGTTGAAAGACTCTCAGAGGTCAAGTAAACAGGCTGGCAACCTGATCCCAGGCAGTGTGACACCAGATCCAGCTCTCTCAAGGGCCCCTGCATGCTGCCTCGAATGCAGTAGCTAAGACTGTCCCACGGCAGGAGACTGGAAAAACCTGCTTTCAACCTGCCCATCTGTGGAGCTGACCCCACAGCTGGATTCACATACCTTCTCTGGATTCACATGACTCTCTGGCATCACGACCCTGTGCAGACCTGACCCCTATGTCCCTTTCTAGACCTGGAAGGGACCTGGCTAGCCTGTCCAAACTATCCCCCACCACCAGGTCTGCTTCTCAGCCAGAGGGAAGCCAGGACAGTCAGCCAAGACCTTGAACGGCACTCAGTCCCCTTTGGACCAAGAGGACGCTCTGGCACGTGGGACCCGGAGGGTTATAGGTGACTGAGGTCCAGGGAAAACTTACTGAACTTACTCATTTATTGAGCTCACTATGAGCCAGGCACTATGTATGTAAATCCATTCTCTCGCGCTCTCTCTCTCTCTCTCTCTCTCTCTCATACATACACTCTTTCTATGTGCATATACATAGACACATATGCTTGTGCATTACATACAATACACATTCACTTAGGGGTTAAGAAACTTGCCAAGGTCACAACAGCTAGTAAGTGTCCCAGGTAGGACTCACACCCAGACAGTGTAGCGCTAATCATTCTCGGACCCAGCTACTCATGGAGCTCCTCCTTAGAATGGAGGGAGGCTCAAGACATCCTCTCCTGCCCAATCCCCAGCTTGGATGGATCCCTGCTGGAGGGAGGGGCTGGCAGGGGACCAGCCCTGGAGCCAGGGAGGGATTGAATAGCCAGAAAACAACCTACTCTCCCAGAACCCTCCCCTCCAAGTCCCTGCCTCTGCCAAAGATCGATTCATGAGCACAGTGGTGCAGCCTCAGTGCATTTCTTCATTCCCAGCCTCATTCCCAAAATGTCTTGCACAGTATGTCTATGTAAAAGTCAATTAAAACAGAGACCTGGAGAATCCCTTAGCAGACAAGTCCAGCCAGGCTTCAAAGGTGACCTCACCCTGCCTGTTTTGTAGGCACAAGTGAAACTTAACCTGAGTCACTTCTTGTAAATGCCTGCAGTAGAACAGAACAGAACTTAAGCTCCACCAATCAGAAGCAGCCAACAAACTTACATAACTAGGAACTCACAACAGGGCGGACCAAATAAGGCAGATGTGTAACTGTACTGATCAAGCATTGTCTTTGCTTTCCTCCGTCCATTTGACAAAAGCCTTTCCTTGCATTCCACTTCTCATTTGGAGCTACCTGACTTACTAACTTCAGTGCACTCTAATAAACATCTTAAAAATGTATTTTACCTAATGTACATTTTTATCACCACCAAAGATACTCAGATAAATAAAGTCTGGTTTACTGCTTATAAGCCTCATAACTGAACTTGGTGTTAGCTCAATGCATGCAGAGCAACCAGTTTGTCCTGGTTTTCTTAGAACTTTCCCAGTTTTAAAACAAAAGTCCCTTGTCTTGGGAAACTCCTCAGAAACAGACAGCTGAGATGGTTGATCACCCTCATCACACAAGATGCAAGCTATGAAGTCTTCTTGCTAAAAGAAACCTAGAGGGGATGGGGACACCGCTCAGTGGGAGAGTGGTTGCCATGTGCAAGGCCTGAGTGCTGATAACAGTATATGACTGTAAAAGAAGCCTGAAAATTTGACTAGAAGCTTTCTAGCAGTCAAGGCAAAGAGGAAAACACCACTTGTTATAACATTTTTAGAGTCTGTAATAACACTATCCAGTAGAACTTTCTGCAATGATGGAAAACACTGTACTACCCAATATGATAGCTGGTAGTCACATTTCTCTACAGAACACCTAATATGTGGATAGCAGAGTAGAGGAACTGAATTTTTCATTTTATTTCATTTTAATATATTTAATTTTTTGCTTTATTTTGTGTGTATCAATTTTATCTCATTGGAAATTTCATCTGCTGCATACATAGATTTTGCAAAATACATAATTCGTTTGGATTACAAGCAGAACCCTAATTTCTGAGTTTGAGGGGCTGAACTCTCCTTCTTTTTTTTAAATAATCTCCTTTCTCTCCCTCTCCTTTCTTAATAGTTGTTGGTGGGCTTCATTGTGCTATTTTCATACATACACACATGCACATTTATATATATATATATATTCTGTGCTTTGCTCATAGTCACCCCCTTTCTCCTGCCCCCTCCACTGATCCCCCAAAAAACAGTCCACCCTTTACAATTATTTTAGTTTTCATATTTATATTATTTAGGTCTAGCTCTGGCAAATGAGTGAATAATATATAGTGATACTTGTCTTTCTGAGCTTGGCTTATGTCATTCAGCCTGGTGATCTCCGGTTTCACCCATTTTCCTGCAAATGACATAAGTTTATTCTTTTTGTGTGTATGTGTTTGTGTATATGTGTTGTATTGGGGTTTGAACTCAAGAACTTATGCTTACCTAACACTTGAGCCATGCCTCCAGCCCCATAATTTCATTCTTCTCTACGGCCAAATAATACTCCATGGTGTATATATGCCACATTTTCTTTATCCATTCATTGATTGTTGGACACTTAGGTTGATTCCATAGCTTGGATTTTGTGAATGTAGTCCAGGCTGGCCTCAAACTCACAATCCTCCTGCTTCTGATTCTGAGTGCTGGGATTACACTGAGTGGTGGCTAGGGATGCTGTATAAGACTGCACATCTGTATTAGATAAAAGCAAACTAGCCGGGCACCAGTGGCTCACACCTGTAATCCTATCTACTGGGGAGGCAGAGATCAGGAGGATCATGGTTTGAAGTCAGCCCAGGCAAGCAGTTCTTGAGACCCTATCTCAAAAAAAAAAAAAAAATCACAAAAAGGGATGGTGGAGTGGCTTAAAGTTTAGACCCTGAGTCCAAACCCCAGTACCACTAAATAGATAGATAGATGATGGATAAAAGCAAACTAGGTGCTCAAGAAGAACCTCTTCCTTAATTTCCAACCAGAGGACTTGTTCCTGAAAAGTATCACATGGAGTTATGATGCTTTCCTGTCTTACAACACTACTATGTGTTGAGCACTCTCATGAACGCTTTTCATTCATTTGGTTTTCAGAATTACCCTAGAAGGTAGTCCCCAGGGAGAAAGCTCCTCCCAGGAGACCCTGACCAGAAAGCAAGACACATCACTCCTCTGCCCTTCCACAGAGAACCAGAAGCCTGGGGAGCAGGTAGAAAAGAACAGGGAAAGAGAAAAGATGGAGAAGGGGTCCCAGATGTCCCCATGGCCACCCACAGAGGCTGACAGTATGACTGGTATTGATGCAATGGAAAAAGTGAACAATGTCTGGCATCACCCCTGGCAGCACAGGATATTCAGGCATCAGAAGGAAGCCTGTGTCTGCCAGGTGACAAAAATGCACCTGTATACAACAAGGGAGCCTGGTCTAAGCTTTCCACCTGGGACAAAAGTCTCTTTCACATTTGCTGTGACATCCCTCCACACAGTGCTGAGTGCCAAAGAGCTTTCTTAGGCCTGCCCAGGTCCCTGGGGCTCCAGGCAGCACAGGAGGAGGCAGGTGCACTGTCCCTCCCCTACTATGACTGGAAAGCTGATGACTCCAAGGTCAGAAATAACCCCGTGGTCAGCTCCCACATGTCACTCCTTCCCTCCCCTCTCCACCATTCCCAGAAAGTCTGAGCCCTGAGTCAGAAGAGTCCAGAAGTAGACAAGAATCCACGTCATTGGGTATGGAAGCCACAGAACCATTCCATGGGATTCTTTGATAAATCAGGGCACTGGCAAAGAGTTGGGGCCTGGTCATTCAGAAGTTTCTCATAGGGCTGGCAGAGTGGCTCAAGTTGTAGAGTACTTACCTAACAAGTATGAAGCCCTGAGTTCAAACCCCAGAACCACAAAAAAAAGAAAAGCTTCTCCCAAATCTGCCTCACTCAGGGTTGGGCCAATTGGGCCCTGAGCGGGAGAGGAAAGGATGAGAGGAGAAGAGGGAAATGGGAGAAGAGGGAAATGGGAGAAGAGGACTGGACCTTATTCTCAGAGGTGTCGCATCTGGAGACAGAACCAGTCTCCTAGCTGGGTGGGTACACGTGTCAGCAACAGCTGGAAGCCAATCCAGTGCAGAAAAGGGGCTCACAGGAGTAGGGAGCAGGGACTGCACAGGTGTCAATAGCCCTCCTTATTCATCCCCTCAAAATAATCTGAACACCCCCACTCTACATTGAGTCACCAACCCCAACCCTGAGAGCCACTCTGAATGAATGAAAGCTCCCCTTCCTCCCTTGTCCCTCCCAGTCCAAAGGACATGTAACTGATTCCCCAGGACGCAAAAGTGATTTCCACAAGCCCTAAAAATAACTGAACCACTTAATACTCCCAACATAGCTTCTCTGGCCACCCCCGCTCTGGCCCACCCCCTTTTCACAAGATAAAGGCAGCTGCTGGACTGACACAGGGCAGAGCCCCAGAGCCAGGGCAGTGAAAAGGCATCGGACTGAGCCCGCTGAACAGAACCCACTCCAGACAGGAAACTCTAGAGTAGCAGAACAACAGACCTTTAGGCCGCACCTGCCACTGACTCCAAGCACCCCTCCAGCCAAGCGGGACCTTGGTGAGTAACTGTCTCCTGGCTTTCCAAAGCCTAGCTCATGCTCCAAGCTGGGGACCTCCAGACCCCTGGGTGGGACCAGAAGCAGGTGCATGACAGAGGCTCATGGAAAAAGAATCCATAAGGAAAAGAGCGAGAGTTAGCCTGAGCTATCAGAAGCTCTCAGTGTGGCTGCCTCGGGCAGTTGAAAGGACAAACTCTCACCAGTCTGGCATAATCCAGAGGCCTTTTAGGAGGTGGACTGGAGTTTTGACTTTTAAACACAGGGATGGATCTCCTCAGGCTTCAGGGCCTTCTTCCCCAGAAGCCTCAGGTAGGCACATTGTCTGGAGGAAAGAGAGAGACAGAAGAGAGCCAGAAAGGAGTGGGGATTGGGGACAGTACGTAGGCCAGAATGTAAACTAGGACAGACCCCCTGCCTGGCTGTTGTGGGTAAATATCTTGGCCTATTTGGCCTCAGGGATATCTTCCTTGGTCTGGCCTTAGCCCAGCTCCCCATATATAGTGGCCTGGAATGAAGGTGAGATGAGTCTGCCCCAGACCATTGTATTGTCCTATGGGAAAGCTCTTAGACCAGATCTGGGTGGTTTAGGCAGAGACATAAGAAGGGGTAAAGACATAAAAAGAAGGCTAGAGGCAAGGAGGAGACCTGGGGCAAAAGTGAATTAGGCTGTCCCAGCCCTAGAATTCTATCCCTGGGGGCAGTCCTTAGGGCTCACTCTACCTTAAATCTGGTTCTAGATTTAACTTCCACCTTCACCCATTCTCACCCCAGGAGTCTCAAGGGTGAAGGTAGAAAGGCCACTGGTCAGGAAACCTCTGGATTAGCTACAGCCTTGCCGAGCCTCCTGCACAGGTACATTCCCTTCTGAGGGCCTCAGTTTGCCCCCCAGTAAGGGCATTGGATTCCTTGACCTCTGAATGTCCCTAGGTCTGACATCTCTGTACTGTGATTCTAACAGCCTGTGACCCCAGCAGGGGTCTGGAGATTCCTGGGAGTGGCAGACATCTGTTCAGGCCACACTTGTATTGACAGGATGAAGCAGAGGTGGGACAGGCACAAGTTTGCCTGTGGCAGGGGCTCCTCATGATAGCTCAGAGATGAGAGGAGCCCACACAGTGCGTTTGATGAGACTGGGGCTGTGGGTGTCAGAGATCAGGGCTCAAGTCCCCAGGGTTCTAGTGTCTTTGGTGGACAGGGGAAGGGTGGGGCAAGCAGGCCTCAGTTTCCCCCCCTGCTTCTTCTGAGGTGGCTATAAGGAGGAAGTTCTGTCTCCCACCTGCTGCAGTTCCCTATACCTAGCAACACCTGCAGACCCCTTCAAGCCAGGGGAAGCCTCAAGTCTTCCATACCTGGATGGCCTGCAGGCTAGGAGCCTGGAGCTGCTCAGATGGCAGGAGGCAGGGTCTTCAAGAGCCTAGGGGAGTGAAGGAGATGGTGTGGACCTTGGGTACCCAGGGTCCCCCCTGGCTGAACCTGGACCTCCCTCTGAGCATAGACCCAGTGTTCTGAGGCCAGGACCTCAACTATATTTAGCACCAAGTGTGGACAGAGCAGTGGGTCAGGGCAGCAGGAGGGGGTGTGCATGCTTCTCATTCTTTCCCCTCTAGCCTCTGGGAACTGTCATAACACCTGCCACAAGGCAGATAAGACATATATGTGGCAGATACCAGAGAAGGGCTTGAGGGGTGGAAGGGCATGGAGGAGTGAGGGTGGGGGTGGGGCAAGGCTGCACCTTGGTGAAAACTGGTTGGCAGGAAGAGGGAAGAATAAGAAGAGCCAGGAGCCAGATTTGAAGCTTACATGGTGCTGAGCCCACAAGCATTGATCTTATCCTAAGGTCCTATACCCAGAAGCCTCTAAAGCTGAGCTTGTGTGTACATGATTGGGGAGGTGTCTCCATGAACAAGAGGCAGTCTGTCCCAGCAGAAAGGAACCTGGTCCCAGTCTTCCCTCCCTGGAGATGTCACTTGTATATTCTCCTTGGGCTGCCTACTGAGGAAGCCAATTAGAAAGTTTCACATCACTTACCCTCTTATGTCTTGAGAGTCAGGCCCTAAAGGGAGCTAGGGGCCCAAAACAGAACTGCCTGCCACTCAGTCACCAAGATCTGACTCTCTACCTCAGCTTCCAAATCTTCAATTGTAAAGGGTTGGGCTAAAAGACTCCCCCTGGCTTAGATCTTCTGAGTCTTGGGGGTACAACACAGAAAACCCTGACCTGGGGTTCAGAATTTGGCTCTGTCTAACCATAAGATAACTAGTGAACAATTTTCCCTCCCTGAAACTCTATTGTTTCCACTATCGCATGGGCTGCTGGGCCTGGCTACATTTCCCTGAGCCTGGGAAAGGTTGGAGTGAGTTGAAAGTCAAGAAGGAAGAGGTTGGGCAGGATTTCAGGTCCATGGGCTGAACACGCCCTCTGGTGTTCTGTAAGGGAATTTCATCTTCATGGGAAATGAGTCACCAGTTTAGGACCCACCTCTCTAGGACTGGGGACTTGGTAAGTCAGAACTTCCCCAGGCCATTCACCTGGATGTCTATCAGGGAAAAGTGACTTGGCAAAGGACGAAGAAAATGTGGTATTCAGTTTTCCCACTGGAGATTTGGGCATCCCTTGTGGTGCTGAAGGAAAGAGCCCTAAGGACAGCAGTGTCTTGTTTGCTCCCTAGCAACCCAAATGAAGCTGGGAAGCAAGGACTCCCCTTGACAGATGTGTCTGCATGCTCTAAATTCAAGACTTGTCACACACCTGCCATGCAGGTGGCAAAGTGAGCCCCAGACCAGGATGACCTTGAGAGGGAGGGAGGCTCTAAGTAGAAGTCACCCAGAGCTACTCAGCCTCTGGGCCTTGTTCTCTGCCATGTGGTTGGCACCCTACTAAGGCACCTGATCCCATCCTTTTCTCTTCCCCTTCTCCTCAGAAGGATGGCTGACGCCCAGACTCAGGTGGCCCCCACACCAAGTATCCCAATGGCGACTGCAAAGGACCCATCCCTCCCTCCACCCCCAGGCCTAGAGGATCTGCCACCACCGCCACCCAAGGAGTCCTTCTCCAAGTTCCACCAGCAGAGGCAAGCAAGTGAGCTCCGCCGCCTCTACAAACACATCCACCCTGAGCTCCGCAAGAACCTGGCTGAGGCTGTGGCTGAGGATCTGGCTGAGGTCCTGGGCTCTGAGGAGCCCACTGAGGGAGACGTCCAGTGCATGCGCTGGATCTTTGAGAACTGGCGGCTGGATGCCATTGGTGATCATGAGAAGCCAGCTGCTAAGGAGCCTGTGCCAAGTGGCAACGTTCAGGCCACCTCCCGCAAGTTTGAAGAAGGCTCCTTTGCCAACTGCACAGACCAGGAGCCAGCCGGACCCCGGCCATCGGGAAGCGATGTTCGTGCAGCTCGATGGCTGTTTGAGACAAAGCCACTGGATGCGCTGACAGGCCAGTCAGAGGAAACGGAGGCTACTTCTACTGTGAGGGAACCTGCAGCCAGTGGAGACGTGCAGGGTACCAGGATGCTCTTTGAGACACGGCCCCTGGATCGCCTGGGCTCCCGCCCCTCCATCCAGGAGCAGAGTCCCTTGGAGCTTCGCTCAGAGATCCAGGAACTAAAGGGTGATGTGAAAAAGACAGTGAAGCTATTCCAAACTGAGCCACTGTGTGCCATCCAGGATGCAGAGGGCGCCATCCACGAGGTCAAGGCTGCCTGCCGGGAGGAGATTCAAAGCAATGCAGTGAGGTCTGCCCGCTGGCTCTTTGAGACCAGACCTCTGGACGCCTTCAACCAAGACCCTAGCCAGGTACGAGTGATCCGAGGGATCTCACTTGAGGAAGGGGCACGGCCTGACGTCAGTGCAACACGTTGGCTCTTTGAGACACAGCCCCTGGATGCCATCCGTGAGATCTTGGTGGATGAGAAGGACTTCCAGCCATCCCCAGACCTCATCCCCCCTGGTCCAGACGTTCAGCAGCAGCGGCATCTATTTGAGACTCGAGCCTTGGACACTTTGAAGGGGGAAGAAGATGCTGAAGTGGAGGCCCCACCTAAGGAGAAGGTGATACCTGGTGATGTCCGCTCCACCTTGTGGCTATTTGAGATGAAACCCCTGGACACTCCCAGAGGCAAGGTCCAAGTGGGTCAGCTGCAGCGGGTGGAGCACCAGGAAGGGGAGGGGCTCATGTGTGAGCGTCCATCCAGCAATGGTGCCTCAGCACTGCCCCTCTCTCAGGGTGCCCCACGGAGCGATGGGTTGAAGGGAGATGTGAAAACCTTTAAGACTCTTTTTGAGACCATTCCCCTGGACAATATCGGGCAGGGTGAGCCCTTGGCCCATGCGAGCATGGACAGAATAGAAACAGCTGCTTCTGCTGGACAGTCCCAGGGCACAGCCTCACCACTGTATGCCATGCAGGACAGCAAGGGCCAGCTCCATGCCCTGACTTCTGTCAGCAGAGAGCAGATGGTTGGAGGCGATGTGCAGGGTTACAAGTGGATGTTTGAGACACGTCCCCTCGACCAGCTGGGTCGAAGCCCCAGTACCATTGATGTGGTACGAGGTATCACTCGGCAGGAAGTAATGGCTGGGGACGTTGGCACTGCTCGGTGGCTCTTTGAGACCCAGCCCCTGGAGATGATCCACCAGCGGGAGCAGCAGGAACGACAGGAAGAGGAGGGGAAGAGTCAAGGAGGCCTCCAGCCTGAGGCACTCCCAAAGGGCGATGTGCAGACCATCCGGTGGTTGTTTGAGACATGTCCAATGAGTGAGTTGGCTGAGAAGCAAGGGTCAGAGATCACAGATCCCACAACCAAGGCTGAGGCACAATCTTGTACCTGGATGTTCCAGCCTCAAGCCCTAGACAGGGCAGAGGACTCTAGAGAGCAGCACCTGCAGGTCAGCCAGGTGCAGGCCAGAGAAAGACAGACAGATGGACATATCTTTGAAACTGAACCTCTGCAAGCATCAGGTCGACCTTATGGAAGAGGACCTATGCGGTACTGCAGCCGAGTGGACATCCCTTCAGGGCAGGTGTCTCGTCAGAAGGAACTTTTCCAGGCCCTGGAGGCAGGAAAGAGGGAAGAGCAAGAGTCCAGGACAACCCCCGGGCCCATCCTACAGGTTCTGTGCACAAGTTCACTTGGCTCTTTGAGAATTGTCCCATGGGTTCCCTGGCAGCTGAGAGCATCCAAGAAGGCAACTTTCAGGAAGAGCAACACCAGAGCCCCACAGGCAAGAGGATGCTAGAGAGGCAGGAGACTGCAGCTGAGGGAACCCTGCGGACTCTGCATGCCACACCTGGCATCCTGCACCATGGAGGCATCCTCATGGAGACCCGAGGGCCAGGGGAACTCTGCCTTGCCAAGTATGTGCTCCCAGGCCCAGGGCAGGGGTGCCCCTACATACGGAAGGAGGAGCTGGTGTCTGGTGAGCTTCCTAGGATCGTCTGCCAAGTGCTGCGCAGACCAGATGTGGACCAGCAGGGACTGCTGGTGAGAGAGGACCCACCTGGCCAGCTCCAGCTCCATCCGCTGAGGCTGCCAGCTCCAGGAAACACTGGGAATATTGAAGACATGGACCCTGAGCTCCAGCAGCTGCTGGCTTGTGGCCTCGGAGCCTCCACGGCAAGGACTGGGATGGTGATGCAAGAGACAGAGCACGGCCTAGTAGCACTGACTGCCTATTCCCTACAGCCTTGGATAACCAGCAGAGCCCCCAAAAGGAGCAGTGTGCAGCTGCTGGCCAGCTGCATAGACAAAGGAGACCTGAGTGGCCTGCACAGTCTGCGGTGGGAGCCACCAGCTGATCCAAGTCCAGTGCCAGCCAATGAGGAAGACCAGAGCCATCCGCCAACCGAGAGTATCATCCATGTTCCTCCACTGGATCCCAGCATGGAGATGGGACATCTGAGAGGCCCAGGGGCTACCCCTTGCCCACCTCAGGCCATTGGAAAGGCAGTCCCTCTGGCTGGGGAAGTTGCAGCCACAGCCTCATGGCAGGAAGCAAAAAAGCAAGCAGACAGCAATCACACTAGGCAGAAAGGGACGGCAGCCTTGGCAAAGTCAGGAGGAGTCATGAACACCCCTCCAGGGTCCAGGTCCCCAGACCTCCAGGAGGCTGTGCAGAGTCTGCGGATGGTAACAGCCGAGGCCCAAAGCCTGCACCAGCAAGTTCTGAATAGGCACACACAAGGCTCTGCCCCTTCAGCCACTTCTATGCCCATCCAGGATGGTCTTCTGCAAGCACCAGCCCCTACCTCTGGGGCTATACACAGGCCTGTGGCTGGAGGTGACTCCAGAATCCCAGCAGCCTCCAGAAAGGTCAGTGGGGAAGAGAAAGCACTACCCAGAGGGCTGCCTGGGGGGTGGGAGAACATTCAGGATGGTGTCTACACTGCTCACCCTGTAAGGACTTTTGACCCCTCTAGGGGTGTCCAACTTTCTGGGAAGGAGCCTCATACATGGGACAGAGAGACTGTGCTCTCTGCCCAGGCTCCCAGCCCACCCCAGGGAGACCCAGGTCAGAGTCCTGGGCCAGGGAGGCAGGAACCTGGAGGATGCACACAGAGGGTCTGGGGGCCTCCAGGGAAGGTGATGGCCCAAGTCTACCCAGGGGGCCTCCAAGATGCAAACACCACCCTGAAGACTGCTCCTTTAGCTCACAATACTCTGGCCTCTGGGTCCCAGGCTGCAGGTACCAACCTGCACTTCCATAACATCTCTGTTCCTCCCCCTCCTACTCTCCCAGCTGCTGTGACAGGAACTGACTTCCCTGCTCAAACCCGCCATGATGAAGACTCCAATCAGCAGGACTCCAAGTCCCTGCAGAACCCCCTTCTTCATACCCACAGTGGCCATGCTGGACAGAGAACCCCTGAAGGATCACAGACAAAGACTCCAAAACTGGAACCTACCATGCCTCCAAGGAAGAAGCCCCCAGTGCCCCCAAAACCTGCACATCTAACCCAGATCCACCCTCCTCAGAGGCTATCCAAGCCCTCAGTTTTATCCCCCAGCTTGTCCTCAGAGGTGGGACAAGGAGAACACACAGGAGAGACAGATACAACCATCTCTCAGCCACCCAAAGTTCCTAGGGCAGCAGGCCAGGGCTGCGTGCCTCTGAATAGATGCTCCAGTGGACAGAGCCATCCCAGTCCCCAACACAGCCTCAGCCCTGTGGCTCCCAGGCCCAACAAAGATCAGGCTACCGACAGTAATGCCCAGAGCCCTGAGCCCCGCAACCTCAACATTCTCAGCAGAGACTCCACCTCACCAGAGAGGAGCTACAGCCCCCCAAAACAACAGCCCATGAAGTATTCCATGCAAAGGGCTCCTGAGAATTCTGAGACTCTGCGGGGAAGCCAGCAAGAGCTCCAGGGCCTCCTGAGCCAAGTACAAGCCTTGGAGAAGGAGGCTGTCAGCAGTGTGGATGTGCGGGCCCTGCGAAGGCTCTTTGAGGCTGTGCCCCACCTGGGAGGTGCAGCTCCTCAGCCTCCTGCTGTCCTCCACAAGCCAGAGACCTCCATGGATCAGGCCTTTGGGGAGCTAACTCGGGTCAGTACAGAAGTCGCCCGACTGAAGGAGCAGACCCTAGCCAGGCTGCTGGACATTGAAGAGGCTGTGCACAAGGCTCTCAACTCCATGTCTAGTCTCCAGCCTGAGTCTAACACCAGGGGCCATTCCCAGAGATCTCAAAAGGATCACAGTACCCACAAGGTCAGTGTCTCAGGCAGCAGAAGAGCCAGGCCCACTTGCTCAGGCCAGGAAGTAGAAGATCCAGCTCCAGTCAAGGGTCAAGCCAAAGCTGAATGCCATTCTAAGGACCAGAGTCAAACCAAGATCAGAAGTCACACAGAGGCCAGAGTTCAGGCAGTCTCAACTGCCTCTCCCTTCAGGAGGCTGGAGACATTGAGAGAAAATTCAGGCCTCCCTCCAGTCTTGCCTTCCTGCCAAGATTCACCCTCCTCCCCAACCTTCATTTCCATCCAGTCAGCCACAAGGAAGCTTCCAGAGGCCTCCAGCCCAAACGGCAGCCATAATGTCTCAGGGAAAAGCACACACCTACATCAGGACATAGACCAAGCCCTGCTCCACCAGAAAGGTGTCCAAAACAAGGCTGGGAAAAAGGTGGTCACCCAGTGCTCTGGGCAGCCAAAGCCTACCCCTGCCTCAGCCAAGCCCCTGCCTACAGGGCAGCAAAAGAGTATCCTGGAGTTGCAGACTACGCCAGGTGGCCCCCAGTGCTATGAAGCCACGAAAACCGTGACTGAACAGTACGAGGAGATGGACCAGTTTGGGAACACAGTCCTTGCTTCCTCAACCACCACCACTGAGCAGGCAGAGCCAACCAGGGACCTGGGTCTGGGCCTGGGCCCCCACCTCGGGCTCCACGCCTCACCACTGCTGAGACAATTCCTGCACAGCCCTGCTGGGTTCAGTAGTGGCCTGGCAGAAGCTGAGATGGCATGTGGCCATACACAGCCAGCAGCCCAGTGAGCACCTCTACCTCATGCCTATCACGTGGTGCCTCCCTTCAGGGCCCCAGGACTAAGGTGGATGCCTACTTCCTGCACACATGGGGTGGAGACTGAGAAGAAAGGGCATCTTCTGAGAACTGGTGAGAGCAGTTCCCTCTTGTCAGTTCCACCTATATGTTCTCACAAAAGAGGAAGAAAAATTAGAAGCCCAGGAAACCCTGCAGGCACAGGGTAGGATGGGACCTGCCGACTGCTTGCAGAGGACAGACTACATGACAATATACACCCACGCCTCACACATGTGAGTCTGCACATCATTGCCTCCAGAACTGGAGACACACCCCCCTCCAGTGTCCCTCCACCCTCGACCTTTCTTTTGAGTGTGAATGTCTTGGGGCATCTACTCCTTGATTCCTGGAGAGGACCAGGGCCAATGGGACACAGCACTGGTCTCGGTAAGGAATTGGTATGGGGGCTCCAGAAGGGCCTGGCCACTGGCCCCTTTATCACCATCTTCATGCAACTGGTCACCCTGGTGGCCCAAAAGTCAAGCAAAAAAGGTCAACAATCAATAATGTTCCTATAAGTCAAATGTACTACCCTTCTCTGCTCCCCATTCCACCCCAGACTCTGCACTTCAAATGGAAAATACTTTAAATAAACCCAAGTTTGATGCTCTACTCTGTGTGTGTCTAACTATGTGTGTGTCTCTTCCAGAGTGTGGGTTCACACTGTGGGAAAACCAGCCCGAGCCTCCAGGTGCCCAGTGTTCCTAGCTACAGCAGCATTTGGAAGGCTCTGAAAAGCCACCCCTTCACCATGTTAGTTAGCAGCCAGAAAGACTCTGCCCACTCCCCTGTTCTCCTTGCCCTCTTGCACACACACTCACACTCACATTCACACACACACTACTGTCCCCTCTCCCTCTGGCCACCTTTCTTGGGTGTTCTTTTTGGGTTTTTTGGCAGTACTAAGGTTTGAACTAAGGGTCTTACGCTTGCTAGGCAGGTGCTCTACCACTTCAGCCACTCCACCAGCCCTTTTTTGTGTTGACTATTTTTGAGATAGGATCTTAGGAACTATTTGCCAGGGCTGGCTTTGAACCAAGCTCCTCCTGAGTAACTAGGATTACAGGCATGAGCCACCAATGCCCAGCTCCTGGATGTTCTTGGACATCATCTTAGAAGGGTTCTTACAGCCTACCCAGAGTGGAGACCAGTCCCATCAGGTCTGGGAAGGCAGGAGCACCTTAGACCACTCCTGTGAATTTCCATGTCCAAGATGTCTGGGGCACTTTCTGTTCATGCTAAGTGCTGTGTGCCAAGCAGGGATCCTGGGAACTGGGTGTGGTAGCACCTGCCTATTATCCCAGCACTTCAGAGGCTGAGGCCAACCTGAGCTACATAGTGAGACCTAAGAGCTGGGATGTAACTCACTGGTAGAGCACTTGGCTACCATGCACAAGACCCTAGGTTCAATCCCCAGCACTGGGAAAATAAAACAAAAAACCAAGCACGGGTTCCTGGAAAGAGGAGAGATCAGATTCTGGCCTGAGAAATGCAATAATTTGATGAACAACCCTTTTCATTGGGCACTTCCTTAAGCCAGGCCTGCTCTAGGTAGTAGGGGTCATTCTTAGGAACTATTTTAGGAAACTGACTTTTTAGATGAGGAAATGGACAAACAAGAAAAATCAGATCAGGAACAGGGAGATGTGCCTACCTAGGCCACCTTTCCACTAGGGATAAGGAGTCTTAATAAATGATGATGTAACCATGACAACGGATTGCCTTAGCACGTGTGGCCTGTGCACATCTCCTAAGGAAAACCATCTCACCTGAGATCTGAATACAAGCGCTAGCTAGTGAAGGTGAAAGCAAGCTAGGCAGAGAGAATAGAACTTGCAAGAGTTAGAATAAGTTGGTTCCTGAGTGTCCTGAACACTCTTCCACAGGAAGGGGCATTAGCAATTAAGATGCTAACAAGTTCATGCTTAAGTTAACAGGCAGACTCCTCCCCTACTGCAGTTCAGGGCTCAGCCCTCCACACTCCTCACTGACTACTCTTTACCTGCTCAGCTGATATGAATGGGTTCCCCTGGGACACCAGAACTCTGATCTGGAAGGAGCCCATCCCCTGTGGGAGATGAATATGAAAAAATCAAGATACCAAGTACCTGGGCTAGTGGAGTGGCTCAAGCAGTAAAGTGCCTACCTAGCAAGCATGAGGCCCTGAGTTCAAAAGTTACCAAGTACCTGCCTGGACGTGGTATCATCACGTGCCCCTCATCACATGCCTCTTTCCTTCCCCTGCCTTCCATAAGGTCTCACTTGATTACAGGGCCTGGCAACTTAATGCATGAGTGTTCTCTTTAATGTCCTTATCTGTAAAATGGACATGATTGTGCTATCACTATAGAGAAGCTTAGATGACTTAATAGATGTAAAATATTCTAAGCTGTGCCTGACACCTGGAACTCAAAGACTTTCAATATTCTTTTTATTTATTTATTTTTTTCGTACTGGGGTTTGAACTCAGGGCCTACAACAGCCCTTTTTTTGTGAAGGTTTTCTTTTGAGATAGGGTGTGGAGAACTATTTGCCAGGGGTGGCTTGGAACCATGATCCTCCTGATCTCTGCCTCCTGAGTAGCTAGGATTTACAGACGTGAGCCACCGGTGCCCAGCTCCACTTTTAATATTATTGTAATTACTTTTTAATCTATCTCCTTTCTCACCTTCAGGAGGGGGTCTCTGACTTGTTCATCGTGGTGTCTCTAGTGCTTATTGTAAATGCCTAAAAGGCCCTCCGCGCATGTCAAATAAATGAATGCATGGGTGAACGAAGTGACTGAAGAAATCTGCCAGTTCATCACTAGCATTTATTAGTACTTCATGCCAGGTTCTGATCAGGATGCTAAAAATAGAGATGAACAAGGCAGAATTTATCCTTGACCTCATGAGACTGAGGTTTAAAGAAAAAAGACAATACATAAGCAGATTCGATCATTTTACAGGAGAGGAATACTGTGAACAAGAAACAAGGTCAGTCCCCAAGGGGAGAGGGGAAGCTTAGCTTGGGTGGTCGAGGAAGACACCTTTGCAGAGATGACCTGAATGACAGAGGAGCCAGCCGATTGGCTGGAGGTGGTGAGTGGCGAGCGCACGTGCGGCTGCAGGAGAGCAGCGGCGACGTTCGGAAGGGCCCCGCCCAGTCCCCTGCACACCTGCCGCCACACCGGCCGCCACACCTGCCGCCCGAGCTGCGGCTCCGCCTCTCTTCCCGCCGGCTGAAAATGCCTGGGCGGGAGGCTGAGGGCGCCGCGCCTGGACCACGCCCCCGGAGCCCGAGAGGCGTGTTCCCACCGGCAGTCGCCAAGGTGATAGTGACGTCACGGGGCCGCGGGGTTCAGAACGTTTGGGCGGCGGCGGCCGTTGCCGGGAAACGCCCGGCAGGCGCACTGCCAGGCGCTGGCTTGGCCCTCAGACTCCGGACGCCTGGACGCGCCGTCCTGGCCAGCCCTTGATTGGAGCCTCCAGCCTGGATTGCAGACGGACGCCGGTTCCGGTCCTCACCCCCGGTGGCCCGATCTGTCAGGCAGGGCGTTTCGTCCCTCCTTGGTGTCTATATCCACCAGTCCCTATCTGCACCGCCATCACCCCGCCTCAGGCAACCACCAGGCAGCCAGATGTGCTTACTAAGAGTTTTCCAGATCAATTCATAATGCCCTCGACCGGCTTTCCAAATCATTCGGTCTGAAATCTAAACTTTCAGTGTTCTGTAAGACAAGAATGACTTGCCTCTCTGCCTCCCTCTCCTCACACTGTCTCCACTCCTCCTTGCCCACCTCCCCCTAGTCACACTGGCTTTCTTGCTCTTTAGGCCCATACCAAGTTGATTCCGGCCTCAGAACCTTGTACTTGCTGTACCCTCTTCTTAGAAGTCTTCTCCCAGACTTTTAGTGGCTGACCTCCTCGCGCCTTTCCTGATGCATCCCCACCCCACCCCCTTCCTCCTGTCTAACGATGACTTCCTCCGAGTTTCCATGCAGATTGCAATATGAAATTATCTTGCTCACTTATTTGCTTGTTAATTGTTGGTGTTGTAGATACCACTTCTGCACAGGAAACCACCTCAAACCTAGTGGTTTAAATAGCTATGAGGTGATGCTTGTTGATTGTGTGGGCCAGGAATCTGGACAGAACACTGAAGGGGTGACTTGTCTCTGTCTTGTAATGTCTGGGGCTTCATCTAGAACATAGATGCATGTGTCCTGGGCTTCTGAGCCATGTCAGTCTCAGGTTACTGTACTTCTACATTGCAGCAGGGCTCCAGACATGTGTCCCACCTAACAAGGCAGACAGACGCTGCATCACGTTTTGTGACTTAGCCTCAGAAGTCAGAAGAACCTCATTGGCTCCATTGCGGGGGTGACAAGTGAATCACAAGTTTACCCAGATCGAAAGGAAGGGGTGTTAGGCACCAACTTTTGATGGGGAAAAGTCAAAATTCTACAGCATGCAGCCATCTTTGGAAATACCATTCTTCATAGCCCATCTTCCCCCAAGGGAATATCACCTACAAGAAGAACTTTGTCTCCTCTGTTTATTGTGGCATCCCCTCTGCCAGGAATGATGGGGGCTTGGTTTGTGCTATAGAGTGAATAAGGAAAGTATTGTTTTTCAAGGAGTCATTTCAACTCAGCTTTTCTCCCTGTGTGTTTCCTTGCTGGAGTCCTAGTCTACTCTAAGACCAGTGCTTGTATTGCCAGGTTGATTTTTGTTTGCTTTTATTTTTTTCAGGAATATAGTTATTAGAGGCAAAGAAACACTTAGCCAAAAAAGATTCTGAGATAGTTTTCTTTCTTTTTTCCCTCTAGCACCATGGGCATTTTATTTGGAAGTGAGTTTTTAACTATCATTACTACATAAAACATCCACAGAAACTTTCTTCTTTTTCTTTTTAATTGTTCACAAACTGGACATCGATCTACCATTTGATCCAGCAATACCACTCTTGGAGATATACCCAAAAGACTGTTACTCCAGAGGCACCTGCACATCCATGTTTATTGCGGCACTATTCAAAATAGCCAAGTTATGGAAACAGCCAAGATGCCCCAGCACTGACGAATGGATTAAGAAAATGTGGTATCTATACACAATGGAATTTTATGCAGCCATGAAGAAGAACGAAATGTTATCATTCACTGGTAAATGGATGGAATTGGAGAACATCATTCTGAGTGAGGTTAGCCTGGCTCAAAAAACCAAAAATCGTATGTTCTCCCTCATATGTGGACATTAGATCAAGGGCAAACACAACAAGGGGATTGGACTATGAGCACATGATAAAAGCGAGAGCACACAAGGGAGGGGTGAGGATAGGTAAGACACCTAAAAAACTAGCTAGCATTTGTTGCCCTTAACGCAGAGAAACTAAAGCAGATACCTTAAAGCAACTGAGGCCAATAGGAAAAGGGGAACAGGTACTAGAGAAAAGGTTAGATCAAAAAGAATTAACCTAGAAGGTAACACCCACGCACAGGAAATCAATGTGAGTCAATGCCCTGTATAGCTATCCTTATCTCAACCAGCAAAAACCCTTGTTCCTTCCTATTATTGCTTATACTCTCTCTACAACAAAATTAGAAATAGGGCAAAATAGTTTCTGC